TCGAGATTTGAGACTTTTTTTCACATTTTCACGATTGTGCTAGCACAACTCAGCCATTACACACTAAGTAGAAGGTATAAGTAGAGCTATGAACTCAGCCACATTATGGGCGGCTTACCCTAGTTCAACTGCCGAATGATCGAATAAAGTTTCGGATTTTTGGCAGCAGCCAGATATCATTGGCGGATTTAGATGGGGGCCGAGGAGGCCGTGTTCCCTCTATTTTTAACAACCAATAGGGCTTTGCGCCATCGGCGCTCGCGAACTTGGCCTTAGGCTAACTTATCGCCCCCCCCTATTCCAGAATCCTAGATCCGCCCCTGGATATGATGCGGATTTTGTGAGCTAGATAGCACGCTGGAATACTAAAATTCGAAAAGCTCTCAACAAACTGAAGTTAGCGTAAAACATGCGAATTCAATAGCGCCCCATATCTCATTGTATTGTCATGAATTAGTTTTCGCGTATCTGTTGACCGACTTAATTAGTTGATTATTAGCTGAATTGCTGTGTTATGTTTGTCATCGTTTAGGCCTATTTGAAGTTTTGGATGGAACTCGACTCAGTGATTTGGAACTAATACGAGATAACCGTCGCTATCTGACTATAAATCTGACAGTTGGTATTCGTAGTTATTAATGTAGTGAACGATTAATCAAAAGATATGACGCATTCAGTACTTAGTGTGATTGGCTTTATGATTGAAGGTTACGCCCTAGAGTCTTTTTACTGTATTGTAATTGGTTAGTGTTTTGAAAATGAATAAAGAGAGTTTGAGTTGGTCTTGGGGAGCACAGCACGATAGACGCAGTCGAGTGCAGTCCTGGAGAGCCTTGGGGCGAGTGTTGTATATACTAAAATACAGTATATACTAAAAATCATGTCCAAACTAAGTTCGAAAATTACATGGATTTTAAAAAATGCGTAAATTTTACCATAATATCTAATTCCCTGATCTAATTCTCACCGGGTACATTATTTTGGCGAAAAACAAAAACAAAATAACTTTTCGAAATCAAACATTTACCTCTTGACTCGTGTGATGCAATGTGACACTGAAAACTGCATAATCTATTGTTGGAAAAATTGCATTTTTCGCGTTATAAAAGCGATATATTTGCATACTTACCAGCACGTGATATCTTCTTCATGTACACAGTACCCATCACCGCAATAACCATATGTACACTTTGAAGAGCAGATAACGTCCCCCGTTTCATTAGTACATTTAAAGTTTTCATCACATGTTACCGGTATTACTACGCAAATGTTATACGATCCTCTGTATTCATCTGAAAGAGACACGTTTAATCATACAATTTAAAACTGGATACATGTATATAGTGAATAAAGAATGCCACTAGACAAAGTTCTCGGAAAATCTATTAAACGGCTCATTTCAATTCTACTGTGTTTAGCATTCAAAAATCAGTCGAAATTAAAATCAGTTTTCTAGAAAAGCACAGAACAAAACAGAACAGTTCAGGGATCATGGTTTGTGGAGTAGATGTGGTTGGTGTATTTCACGTACGCGAAAGATACAAAACAAACGCGCGTAACGTACCACCGTACACTGTGTAGTTCTCGTCAAGCGCATAGAGTGTAGTGTTGCTTTCATAATATATGGCTAAACTGTTGTTATGTACATATTCTGCATCAATTTCCACGCCGGAATCATTTCCGTGAGTTTGTAATTCATGTTCGTAATAGATGGCTATATAGTCAACTTCTATAGAACCGTTCCTGGAGACAGAAAATAATAAGAGTGTATAATAAGTCTACAACCTAGTAATGAGGCGTTTCTGTGACGTTAAATGATCGGTGTAAGCACTATGGTCACCAAAGGCATCCGTGCAGTCGTTCGATGGGACTCAATACACCATTCTATATATCGCGCCCTCTAGTGACGGGCTGATTCTATGGTGCCAAAATGACGTATCCTCGGGGGCGGAGCTACGTCACAAGACGTTCCACGTTGCTACAACGCGCACCACTGTACTTGCATCAATCTCCTTCCCAGAGGCCTTTGCGCTTCACGCAATAGTGCCTCTGCCACAGGCAGCCTTCAATTTTGTGGTCAATCACCTCACTACGCACGGCCATTTTCCTGTAGCTGTTACATCTGAAAACGTACTACAAAAAGTGGAAAAAAACGTATGTGACATCCGAACTATTTATTAATGTCAGACTTCAGTAAAAACGTAAATACGAACCATTTTATCACGGACTATGTTTTGCAAGGTAATGTTATTGTAGTGAAATGGCGCACGTGATAAACTAAAACTAGGGAAAACAGCGTTCTGTTTATGTACATCAAGATGGGGAAAGAAACATTAAACACTAATTTTACCTCGAAAGGATTTCCTAACAACCTCGTTCATCTGTTTTCTG